CTCAAAGAAAAAAAAAAAAGAAAAAGAAAAGGGATTCTAAGGCACAGAGAGTTCAGGTACCTTTCCAAAGGTGATAACAGCTAGACAGCAGACCAGGTCGTCTCCCAGGACTTTTGCCCTTGATCACTATCCTACCTTGTTGAACACAGCAGTAAATATTTATATATAGTTTTATCCAAAATTTTCCTGTTGGTTGTGGTAAACCATGTTTTCTTGTTTTGAGACAGGGTCTTGCTCTGTTGCCCAGGCTTCTGGTGTGCAGTGGCACAAACATGGCTCACTGCACCCTCAACTTCCTGGACTCAGGTAATCCATTTCAGCCTCCCAAAGTGCTGAGATTACAGGAATGAGCCATCATGCCTGCCCTCACACTATATTTTAATGCTTCTTTTGAAAATGAAAACTTATAGACGATTTACTTCAAACTAATGATAAGAAAGTGATGCTGTTCTGGTTTGTTTTGTTTTTGCGTGTTTTTTTTTTTTTTTTTTTTTTTTTTGACACATGGTCTTAGTCTGTTTCTGTTGCCCAGGCTGGAGTGAGGTGGCACAATCATGGCTGACTGCAGCCTCAACCTCCCGGGCTCAAGCAATCCTTCCCCCTCAGCCTCCCAAGTAGCTAGGACTATAGGTACATGCTACCACACTGGGCTAATTTTTGTATTTTTTGTATAGACAGGGTTTCACCATGTTGCCCAGGCTGGTTTCAAACTCCTGGGCTCACCTATTCTCTACCTTGGCCTCCCAAAGTGCTGAAATTACAGGCATGACTCACTGTGCCTAGCTGATGCTCTTTTTTAAAATGCATTTTTACCTTTTTTTTTTTTCTTTGAAGTGGAGTCTGACCATGTCTCCAGGCTGCAGTGCAGTGGTGCAATCTCTGCTCACTGCAGGCTGGTCTCGAACTCCTAACCTCAGATGATCCACCTGCCTCGGCATCCCAAAGTGCTGGGATTATAGGTGTGATCCACTGTGCCCGGCCATTTTGCTCATTTTAGGTACTAGAATTTTTTTTTTTTTTTTTTTTTT